CTCTGCATGAGAGATAGGTTATAGGCTTGAAATTGCTCCAGTTAAAATCTAATGGCAGAGTGAACCGGGGGGGGAGGGTTGGGTGGAAAATTTGGAACCATTTGGTAATGTAGCCAGATAAGAATGAGCCAAAACTTGTTTCCCTGCAGTTGTTCAGCTTCCTTGCTCCCAGGAAAACAAAAAAATCAAAAAATCAGAATGCTGTGAGCAGTCACTGACTTGTATTTCAAACATCACTAACACAGATTTAAAAAGGAGTTAAACCATATACAGATGCTAGAAATAAAAACATGCCTTTTTTTTGCTTTAGCTTTGTGGGAAGAACCCCCATGCTGTGTGTCTGGCTCCAGAAAGAGAATAGCTCACTAGCAGTTCCCCATACTAGCTTAATTTCTTTTGCAGCGGTTGGTATTGGCTTCAGCAAAACTGTTATCACAGAACACTGCAGAGACCCTGTTCAAGCAAGAACAGACACCATGAAATCCAGCACAAGCTCTGTGCCTTTGCATGTGCCTAGATATGCTCAAGACAGGAGATAGAGCAAGGACCTGAAGGCAAACAGAAAGAACCAAAACCTCTGTGTTTTAAATACGTGATTTTTGTGAGGCTCCAATTCATGACTTGAATGCTTGGGATTGGCATTACAAAATTTGGTAGTTTGAAGAGGGCAGGAAGAGGAAAGAGAAAAAAAACAAACACTCATGCAATTTGCCTGGTAAATGCATAAACCTTGGGAAGTATTGCTGCCTTGTCAACAACACAGTACCCAGGTCTTTTGGAAGAGAGTGAGCATTTAGCAACTTCATGTTGCCATCACGCACTGTTTACCTTCCATCAGCCGACAAGGCTCACCTAAGCAGGAGGACAACTGAACACAAGATCACCCAAGAACATACAGAGAAGCTAATGTTTAGGATGATTTAGAAAATTGGTACATTGTAGGTGAAATTCCCCAATCTGCAAAAACTTACACTTTTGAATAATTAAACATGCGACTGCCAGCTACACCACTCACACATGATACTTTTGCAGGAACAGGGTTTATGTTACTACTGAATTAGGTGGATAATGTCATACTACCAGAGCAACAAATTGTAAGAAACGCTGCCTTTCAGGATCAGGGCTTAAAAATGAGAACTGAAGCTTTTACTCATTTGCTAAGCTTGCTTGGCAAGGACATATGGTCCATCTTTCTTGGTGGTTGCCCCCCAGCTCTGAAACTCCCTCCCCCTCGAGGCCCACCAGAACCTGAGCCTGGACGCCTTCTGGAAGCATGGTAAGACCTTTCTATTTGGGTAGGCGATTGACAGGCAGGGATAAACTGGGATTTTACTATATCGTTTATTTTAGTGCTCTGTTGGCATTTATGAATTTTGTTTCCCCCTAAGATTAGTTCTGTTCATTTGTTTTCTATGTTTTTTTTCCTCTTACTGTAAATCACCATAAACTTCTGTTGGGAAAGGCAGCATATACACCTAATAATAAAATAAAGCATTGGGAAGTGCCCTAGATGTCCTGCTACATTCCAGTTTTGCAAATAAGGGGATCCTAGGCAGATATTAAGCAGCAGGAAATGCCTGACCCCGATTTCACTGCCATAAGTCAAAGAAAAAGATCGTTTAATGCATTAATTCACAGTACTATTCTAGTCCTCTTTTAGCAGTTAGAGAGGATTACAACATGAAAAGAAAGCTGGACTTTAAATTTTTACTTGGCCACTAATGGTATTTCCCAATACTATAGCTGAGAAGCCACGTAAGTACTTGGTCATATGATCGTTGGTTTGCATCGTTAGAGATTGTCCACATAAGCTATTTAGTTTTAAAGACAGAATCATGAAAAATTAGTACGTACGTAAAAGATGCAGAGTGGCATGAACTGATGACATTCATAAATTAGATTATATACACATTAATGGCATTATTATTGGAACTCATACCTAGCAGAAGCCTTTTCCCTGATGTTTCATATAACACAGGTTTTCAGGCTTGAGAAGAAGTTCATATGTTTAAGTCCCGGGGACTTGTTAAAGAACTGCTCCTTCCCTTGTTCCAATCCAGTTAATGCTACAGGACAGATGACAGCTTAATGTTCTATTTAGTCATTAAAATGACCAAAGATATTAATCGTTTTTATAGGAGATCCAACTCAAAAGGACTTGATTGATTAAAAGTGCATCGTCCTATTTTATTTGGCTCTAAAATCCTCTAAAGTCAAAGAAACACTTAGCCCAGGGCCACAAAGGTATTTTGGCACTTCCTATTTTTTAAATGTCAAAGATTTCAGCAGTGAATCCTACTGAAGATACTACTCAATCTCAACAATTGTACTGTAGCCATCTTAACAGAAATATAGAATCTACATATTATTCATATGGACAAGCACACCTTTGAGTCAGCAGTAGGAAGCTCAGTGAGGCAGGGCAGTTGGTAGCTCCATCACATTTCTGCAGAATTGCAGGGCATAAATTGTAAGTATAACTAGGTGAAGAAAAATGGGACTGCATAGGATATTCTTGATGTGTATTTAGCCTGAATGATCTGTGATAGCACGTGATACTTAGTGAGACATCTCTTGATGGTCAGAGTCTGGGTCAAGTTTGACAGCTGACAGGAAGAACGTAATTAGGGATTTAAAATCCACTTTTTAGAGTCCAATTACACTCTAACATAGTTCATCTTCAGAATTAATTATCAGAATTAATTTCTTCCTACATCTGGATATCCCAATCCATCTACTGGCAAGAAATACATGTCATTCAACAGTTTTCTTCTGTTCACTACACAGTGATTTCTTTCATTAACTCACAAATGAAAGGCAATAAAATTCATAAAAGATATTTTGTGCTTAACATTAATACTGCTTTGGTTTTTCAGCAATATTTATAATATGTCTTAACTAACTTCAAAACCAGAATTTTCTCTTGCTTGAGGTGAATATAGAGTAGATTACAATTACTATTTTACGTTGGACTGCTCTTTCAGGTTATCACCTTAACTG